TGAGTTGCAGTGTGTCCACCCTCTGCGTTAGGCTGTGGCCTGTGAGTTGCAGTATGTCCACCCTCTAGGTTAGGCTGTGGCCCGTGAGTTGCAGTATGTCCACCCTCTAGGTTAGGCTGTGGCCTGTGAGTTTCAGTGTGTCCACCCTCTGTGTTAGGCTGTGGCCCGTGAGTTGCAGTGTGTCAACCCTCTGAGTTAGCTGCAGGTCCATGAGCGAGGACTCGTGTACAGAGGCAGCTCAGGCTAAATTTATTGAACAACCCAAATTTTGGGGTCCACATGTGTTTTGGGTTTTGTAATATTCTAGAATTTAGAAAGGTCAGGTGCTGGATGTGCTGGGCATCAGACAACACCCACAGGCAGCAGCCATCCACTCAATGTATACATGAAGCAAGATTCCTAAAGACCCTGCAGGTACACCGCTTCATGCGAGTTTCAAATTTTGCCACCAAATAAAATTGCTCCAAACAGATGAGGGTGCAGGCATAATGGGTGGTTGAGGACTGCAGATTTGTCACTGACCCTGCAGCCTGCTCCACCAGCAAGCACGGCCCCCTTAGCATCTTCTAGCATCAGCCCTTCAGCATCAACGCCTTCTTTTTGCCACAAGAAGTAATAGGTTTCTTGACTTGGCAACATTCTGGACTCCAGACATCTCTGGTCCAGTGCTGGCAGGGTCCCCCTTCCTCTGTCCTGCCTTTCCCAGCCTCAGCCTCTTCTCTCCACCCTGTATACTCAGCCTTCCCAAGAGGCTGAACCCCTCTTCCTGGTCTATTGATGTCTGAGATGGCTCTGCTAGGTTCTGCCACATCTTGGACACTCTGTTCCCTTTCTCCCATGTTTTTGCCTGTTACCTGATTGTTTGTGATTCCTACTCCAGTCCACGCCCTGGTCATCTCAGCCACTGCGGCCTCTTGGTGTCTCCGGTGCCCTCTGCACCGGAATCCAGTCCCGTTGTCCTCAGCTCTGGTTTCCTGCCCCCATGGTGTCCCCTAGTGGGATTCCCCTTTTGCTGTTTACACACATTCACAAGGTCAAACAGTAGTGATACTTAGTTACATAGTAAGGCAGGAGACCCTTCACCTCTCTCCCACCTGGACCCCTCCACTTCTAACATATGTATCTTTTCATCCCTAACTCACTCTCAGCTCTCACATTTCATCCATCCCTTGCTCTTACTCTCTTATGCTGTCTGTCTGTCTGTCTCTCTCTCTCTCTCTCTCTCTCTCTCTCCCTCTCTGGTATCGTTCTTTCTTTCTTTCTCTCTCTCTCTCTGGTCTTTTTTTTAACCCAGTGAGATGACACCTGATGAATTATTTTGTGCTTTGCCTTCTCACTTATGACCTCTCCAGATGAGTAGATGTGCTCAACCTACTTCTTTTTGTGGCATGCTGTGTCTATAGTGCCATCACTGTTGCCTCTTTCCTCTCCTAATGGACACAGCAGACATGCCCGGCATCCCTGCACACCCATTGGTGCTCCCCATGTGCACCAATGATGCATGTGTGTTCTCACTGCTGTGGTTACTAGGGGCAGGTTCTAGTGCACTGGCCACATGTGCCATTCCCCTCCTAATACTGCTTAGGAGACGTCTGACCCTTGCCCTCTCCTCCCCCCTGCCTCAGGCCTCTGAGTTTCTGTCCCTGATGTTCTGTCAGAGTGCCCTGTGCCCTCTCTGCTCTCATTTCGTCGGGACTTCTGGGCTTACACAAGGTCATCCTTTCTCACCAGGCCCTCTCTGTTGTGCCTTGGCAGGCTGGGCTGAGTCTCTATTATTCCTTAGGCCCAGAGCTGGCAGGTGGCACATCCATCCAGTGTTGGCCATGCTTGTATTGATACGAAACTCCAGCTGGCAAAGCCTGGTGGCTTATTTTCCAATAGAGGCGTGTCTACCCTTTGACTTCTGGGTGCAATTAAGAAGGGCAATAAATGTTGAGAACCAAATGAAGAGCTAAATTAATCCTTTTGAAACTATAGAAAACTCTTTATGTCTGTCTACATACATATGTGTAATTCAAGCCAGTGTCCAGAGCGGACAGAAAGGAAAAGACAGTGCTCACACCTGAGATAAGTGTGCAGGTGTTGGTCCCACTTAGCTGCAGACACAGGAGAGACCATCTCAGGCTTGCTGCTTCCCTCCCCGGGAGTGGGACAGAGAGAGCAGGACATTGTGAACAAAAGTGAAATTACATCATAGAGAACAGGCCAAACCTCAGGCATCAGGGAGGGTCTGGGATAGAGCCTGCATCTCTCCCCTTGGTCCCAGTGGCTGCTCAGCTAGGAAAGGAACAGGGAGGAGGAGAAAGCTTTGGTCCTTTTCTGTTGGCCTCACAAATCAGCCACTCATAGATCCATGGCCTTTCCTGTGGGTTTGGTTCTTTTTCCAGGACCCCCAGGTTGTGCATAGACTCCTAGTACTAGGGACACAGTCGTCACTCTGGCAGCTTGACAGTTCTGCACCAGCTTGCCCCTGAGAATGCTACCAGGAAGGGACACCAAGGAGGTGGGGAGCCCCTCTGCCAGGCAGGGGTCAGGCATCAGGGGTGCCCTCCTCACTTTGGCAAAGCTGTGGGTGGTGTGATCTGTTTATGGATGACCCTGTCTACTCACTGCTTGAGGGGTACACATCTCAGAAAGTATCCTCCAGATGGGCCTGTGGAAATGTGTGGATGAGCACATGAGCTGAGCTGTGAGAACTCTGCCCCAGGTGTCACCAAAGTCTGTCCAATGGCTTAGCACTGAGCTGGCACATTGAGGAGACGGTAATCTTGTGCAGGAGACATGCAGTTGGCATTTTAAAATGAGAATACATGGGCTTAGCGCCTATGGCTCAAGTGGCTAAGGCGCCAGCCACATACACCTAAGGTGGTGGGTTCGAATCCCCAGCCCGGGCCCGCCAAACAACAATAATGGCTGCAACCAAAAAATGGCCGGGCATTGTGGTGGGCGCCTGTAGTCCCAGCTACTTGGGAGGCTGAGGCAGGAGACTCGCTTGAGCCCAGGAGTTGGAGGTTGCTGTGAGCTGTGATGGCATGGCACTCTACCCAGGGGGATAGCTTGAGGCTCCATCTCAAAAATAAAAAATTAAATAAAAAATGAGAGTACATGTTAAATCTACTAAGTGTAGAATATAAATGTCTTAAGAAATAACTAAGAAAATGTGAAGGCTATGTTAACCAGTTTCATGAAAGTATTTCAAACTGTATATAAAACCAGCACATTGTACCCCATAATTGCATTAATATACACAGCTATGATTTAATAAAAAAAGAAAAAAAAGAAAATGAGGAATTATGCAGGGATCTCTACCTAGCCATTCCATATCCATCCCTCAGGTGCCAAGAAGCCAGTTTAGGACAAGAAGAGGCAATTTCAAATCACAAGGTAGCAAGGCGGGCAGTGGGCAGAGGTATACCCTGGGGCTGGTCCCTTGAGATGCAGGAGTGGTTGGAGAGCTCTGAAGTCAGCCCTGGAGGTTGCTGGTGAGGGAGGCCGGTGACCCTGACATTGACACCGTTTCCTAGAAAGGGAGTACTGAGCTAGAGGTGGCAGAGCAGGCTTGAGCTCCTTCTGTGTTAATTAACCAGAGTGACAATGTACCTGAGATAAGGAACCCACTGTGCTGTGGTGGAAACCTGGGCTGGCCCCCTCATGCAGTCTCAGAGGCAGCCTCAGGGAACTGAGTCAGGCCAGTTTGAAGTTTTCAAAGGACCCCTTTGCACCTTCCAGTAACAGGCATCACTTAGGCCTCTTGCCTCACCCACCACGTGTTACCCTCTGACTCCCACTGTAGTAAAGGTGGCTAGTCTTGCCTGTGCACCTCCCAGAGTAGTTCCCTTACTATTTCCTTTTATAATTACTTTGTTAACGTAAATAATACCTGAAACTCCTATTTTCTGATCTATTGATAAAAACTCTGGATTGTATCTTCCCCCACCCACCTGCATGTGCACATACAAATTTGCACACTCTTTCTTTGAATGTTCATAGCTACTTTATGATCTGGTTTCAAGAGAAAAGACTCTCAATAGTTTACCTACCAGGGTTTGTTACTGATGGCCTTGGTAATGGCTATCCTTCTGGTAGGTTTGTAGAAGCCGCTGTTCTGTTGGGTGTCGTGGACGGATGCTGAATGGGTACACAGGTGTATTTGTAACTTCTCGGCCTAGCTTTGTTAGCTTGGCAGCGGTAGTTGTTTTTGTTAGTGTGCATTAAAATGAGCCTCTTTATGCGGACAGGGAAGCAGATTCAGCTTTCCTGGGAACTGGGGCTGAGCGTAACTATCTTTCTGTCTTGGTAGCCAGGAGCCCATCTCCTCGGCCAGCTTTACCATGGCTGACCTAGTTCCAGACCTGCAGCACATTCTTTTCTGGATGTCTAACTGCATCGAGCTCCTGTACTTTATCCAGCAGAAATGCCCACTCTACATGCAGAGCATGGAGGAGCAGCTGGACATCACAGGTATGGCTGGTGCTACTGGTGGCCACGCTGGTGTCCCCGGCCCAGTGAGTGTGGTAGCTTCTTGCTGTCCTCTGCCAGAGCTAGCCTTGATAACAGGGATGAATTTGTACCAGAGCTTTCTCAGCTTCTGGCTGGGGCGTGTCAGTTGTTTGGGGGCCAGCACTGGTAGTTTGGGTGGGTCTGGGACTTCTCAGCCATGGTCTGCGGGTATCCCATCTGTCCCCTCATCCCACGTGGTCTGAGTGGTGGCATCACCTTGACTGCATTACGACTCTTCTGCTTGCAGGAAGGTGGGGGTAGGTGGGTATGCAGGTCATTCAGTAGGGGAGACACATGAACCGAATGCAGCGGGCCACTGTCCCTATAAGGTACACCGTGATTTCAGAAAGGAAGAATATTGCCAGTCATCTTTGTAAAATGGTAAATTGTGTCGGTTCAGAGATTAAATGTGGGAAAACATGCATTTGGAGGTTTCTAAAATATAGTAGGAAGTGTTCTAAAAGCACTAAGAGAATAGTCCTGACCAGGGCAGTCTGGGAGGGCTTCACGAAGGTGGCGTTGGGGCTGGGCCTTGAGGCTGGGTTAGGATTTCGGTGGCTGTGTCTCCCAAGGGGTAGGCCTGGAAAAGGCCCAGAGACCCTGGGACAGAGCTGAAAGGAACATAGGATCACTCGAGGACAGGCCCTCAGGGACTTGGGCCTCATGTGGGTAGCCTTAGTTGTGCCCCTACATAGCTTTGTTCTGCTGTAGTCACCCCCGCCCCTCACCTCTGTGGAGCTCCAGGCTGTTCAGGCCCTTCCAGGTGCTGTAGAGGTTCCTGAGCAGACATGGCTCAGTGGCCCTGCCTTGGGAGGGCCTGGGCACATTGAGAGCTGCCCTCAGACTACATCTCTGAGCCTCGGGGCACCCTTAAGCCAGATGGGGCCTGGCCAAGGTGCTCCCATGGTCATGATCTGCTGGAAGCTGTAGTGTCTCTGTGTACTCAGCTGTGTCCCCAGGAGACAGCTGTGGCTCCAACTCAAAGAGCTATGAGCACATAAGGCCAGCGTGAAGTCCTGGGCCTGGCTTCTTCATGGATGTTGAGTTCCTGCTGTGCCCCACAGGGAAGATTTCCTGAGGAGGGGCTGTTGGTGGCTAAGAGGGAGGGGCTGAGGCATCTGTGCAGTGACCATATGGTAGGAGTATGGTTAGGATAGGATCCTGCTTCAGGCCCTGTGTCGGGGTGGACAGTGGGTCTCGGGTTGTGGGGTGAGGGCATGCTGCGAGGGAGGCAGAGCCAGCTGGGATCTGTCTGTGCTACTTCTGGTCAGTGGGGGGTTCTTACCACCTCTCCACAGAGAAGGGGATAGTGGGACCTTTCTGGGTATTTCTAGTGGATCTAGTAGCACCTGGGCTTCTGTGGATCATGGAGGGAAGTGTGGCACTCAGCATGGATCCTCCCTGGTCCTGGTGGGAATTCGAGCTCTGTGGTCTTTGATATTGCCCTCTTAAGCAGATGTGCAAGGCAGCCACTGACCCTCCCAGGGAAAGGCAGCCTCTCCCTGTCCACAGGGCCTAGGTCTAAAGCAAATCTTTCTTCTGGTTTTCCCCTACTCTGAAATGTGACCTAAATGACTGCACTTGCATAAGTCTCCAAAGCAAGGGCCACATCCAGCCATCTGGCCCCTTGGGCCTCCCCTGGGGCACTGGTCCTTCCTGGAGTCCAGCACTGGTGTCCTCAAGGGCCTCAGCTGCCCAGGCCAGTATTATAGCAGCAGGAGGGTTCTAAAGTGTCAGAGACTCCCTCTGAAGTGGACATTGGCCTAGGAGCACCTGGGCCCCAGCTGATCATCCAGGGCCAAGAACAGTTCAGGGGGATGATGACAAGGAAATCCCTTTTGTCCTGGCTTTTAAAGAAAGATCTAGCTCAGGGCACTGGCTTTCCCACCTCCATAACTTTTGGGCTCCACATTCTGGGCAAGTCTCCTGCTGACGCCCTTTCCAAGCAGCTTTATGTCAGAGACCTGCCCTGCCGCTGCAGTCAGCTGAGCCTTGTCTGGGGACCTGCCTTGGCTGCTTTTCATGAGAAATGCTGCCCTGGCTGCCTTAGCCACCTCCAGTGGTCTTGGGGAGGAAGTTATTTTTGGTCAGGGGCCTGGTATTGTTGAGCCCAATCGATGGGTATAAGGGACTGAGCTTCTGCCCACCCTGCCTTTCTCGGGAGACCACTTTTCTAAGGGATGCCACAGGGTCTGGGTGTCATGGGCAAAATAGGCGCTAGACAACCCAAACGAAAATAGCATCCACTAGAGGGCGAAGGGGAGGTCAGTAGCCCCCTGACCTTCTGCAGGAAATGTCTTGGGAAGAATTCTAAAAACATCTGTCATGTCCTGAGTGCTGATGAGATGGCTGTTGTCTCATCATTCCCCAAACATGTTTTTGTCCAAAGCTGTTACCCAGGAGGCCCTATCCGCCCATCTCAGGAGGAGACGACATTTGTTGTATCCATTTAGGATTCTCCAGTATTCTCTCCTGGCTGAGGTTCAGTGCCTTTACCTTGTGGGGTGGGACTGTTTCCTCACGCCCCAGAGGGGTGCCCAGTCCTAGGGCGTGGGAAGTGGGGAAGGGATTACAGGCCTGCAGGTCCTCTTAGAGGTCTGGGGGTGTCAATGATTTAGAAATCCCGGTGGAGCTGGCACCACAGGTGGGAGCATCTCAGGGGTTCCATCCTATGCAAGCCCCGCCCACCCCTCCTGCCATCCCTATAGCCCCTTCCCCTCTTCCCTGAGTGTTTCCCCTTGCCCCAGGGAGCCACATGTGGTCAGGGCACTTGCCCTACCAGTGGCCCTATGGCAGGTGGCAAGGTCTTGGCTCTGCTGCGCATCTGTTTGGTTGACTCTCCTTTTTCTGGTCAGTGGTCTGGACCAGACTTGCATTTCTCTGAAGGAAGGTAGGAGCATTGCAGCTGGTAAAGAGCCCAAGAGCTTGTTGCCCTGCCAGGCCCTGCCTGGGGAGGTTGCAGGCAGCAAATGAGACTCCTTGGGCCAGCCCCTAGCAAGAGACCTGGTGGTTCTGGGGGACTGAGCCCACAGACTGGGCGTGGTGGATGGGGGCAGGGTAGCAAAATGAAGATAGTGGAAACATGTCCACGTGCTTTGTGTGGCTGTTGGCTGAGGTAGAGTTCAGCTTCCGTGCCTCTGAGTTGCTGGTGATCCCCTAGCAATCTGTGTGACAACAGGGCTGCCTGGTCATGTGGGAGGGAGGCCCAGCTCAGAATGTCCTGCAGACCAGAGCTCCCCCCACGGGCCTGACAGGAGGTCCTGATGGTGTGAGTCTTCTGGAAACACTTGGTGGTCCATACCTCCATATAAGGAGGGATCTGAGGGGATGAGGAAGCACAGAGGCAAGACAGCTGGTGTCCTGTCCGTGTCCCTTCCTAAGAGCCTGCAGGACCCCACCCACTGAGACCACCAGGGTGCCCCCTCATGTTCTGAAAGGCCCAAGGTAAGACTTCGCCCTGGTGAGGACCTCTTGCTTTATGGGAGCCCCTGCCCAAAGGGAAGGAATCCACTGATTCCTGCTTCTAACCCTAGTGGCAGGGCCACCCCTGAGCCTGCTGTCTCAGCCTCAGATTCAGCAGCATCTTCCCAGCAGTGTCTCTGCGAGGGGGAGGTGGTATGGGTTTCTTTTCTCTTGAAAGAATACTACTACTCTAAGGAGTGACGCTCTTTGCCCTACGTCCCAAGTGAGAAATGGAATGCGGGGCAGAAGGGTAAGAACCTGCTATCGCAGGCACAGCTGGTCAGGACAGAAAACTCATTTGTACATGTGGATTAACAAACTTTTGACCCACTTGGGGGTTTATGGGGGCATGGAGCTGCCTGTGTAGCATCTGTCTTCCTGAGACTCTGCCTCTCAGGAGGGCACAGGCATGTCTATCTGGGCACTGCCACAGCCTAGGGTCAGCTAGTTTACCATGGCTCACCACCTCATGGAGGCAAGCCCGGTAAGTGTGTCAGTTGGTACTTTCAGGGAGACCTGGTGGATGGCAGAGTGGCTGCTGTCCAGCAGGTGTGTGCCCACTGTGGCTGGGTGTGACTGTTGGTGGTGTTTCCCCACAGGATCCAAGGAGTCGCTGTTCTCCTGCACGCTGACAGCCAGCGAGGAGGCCATGGCCATGCTAGAGGAGGTGGTGCTGTATGCCTTCCAGCAGTGCGTCTACTACATCTCCAAGGTGCAGCCCTTACATGGCTCTTTCCCAGCTTGCCCCCCACTTGCCCAATTCTGCCCCTTGAAATACACCCCGTGCCTCCCTCCATGTCCTGAGGGTCAGAGAGAAGTCCAGTGTGGGGCATGAGGGTTGTAATGCTGCTGCCCTCCAGAACCACTGGTGCCAGAGGTGCCACTGGTCTCTTCGTCTCTGAGCAGCTGTGGGTGCATCGGGGGTACTGGGAGCTGCTCTCCTGGGAGGTGGCATCTCTCCCTGCAGGGCCCACAGGGCTATTTCCATCCCCTGGGCTGAACCCCATCCCTCTAAGTGCTGCCTTTGGGTGCCTCCCAAGGTCTTTTGAGCCTTTGGCTTAGCAGGTGCCCTGGCTACATCCTGTCTCTGCTCCCAACAGCCCTGGGAGGCAGCTCTTTTAGGGTTTCCCCACTGGACAGAGGAAGGAGCCGCAGCTGGCACAGTGGGTGCTGTGGGGTGGCGGGGTTCTTTCCCTCCTAGGTAGCAGTACCCTGGAGAGGCTGTTGTTCTCTTGCCCCTAGTCCCTGTACGTCTGCCTCCCAGCCCTTCTGGAATGCCCCCCATTCCAAACAGAATGCAGGGAGAGCTGGAGCTCTGCCCTTGAGCTGCCTGAGGAGCTACGCCGCGTCGTGTCCGTGTATCAGGTGGCCCTGGACCTCCTGCGGCAGTTGCAGGTGCACCCTGAGGTGGCCTCACAGATGCTCTCCTACCTTTTCTTCTTCTCCGGCACTCTGCTCCTCAACCAGCTCCTCGACAGGGGTGAGGGCTGAGTGCCCACAGTGGGCTCCAGGAACTCATTCCTACAGTGACTCCTGGGGGACAGCTCTTCCGTGGCTGGGGAATCCTACTTTCTGAGGATCTGGGGTCATAGCCGGAGTGGAGGGAGGCTGAGGCCCAAAGGTTGGACATGTCACTCAGAGCATGTCCTGTGGGAGCTATGGTTCCTTCAGGTTTCAGAGAGGCCATAGCTGAGAGGTCTGCATGGGTCCCTTTTCCTGTGACAGGGAGGAAAACAGGCCCAGGGAAGTCATCAGACTATCTCAAAATAGTCAGAGCCAGGGTGCAACCCAAGAATATCCAGCCTTAAAGACTCTGACCTTTTATCCTGCTTTCCTGAGCTGACATTCTTCCTTTACCTGCTGGGGGTCAGGGGCACTAGTTACTTTCAGCCAAGGACTGCTGCTGGGGGTATAGGGAGATCTGAGCTGGCCAGTTGCCTTGAAAATTGCTGCAAGTTTTCATATCTTTCCTGCCCTCGGTGACCAGAGTATTACCTTCCTGCTTTCTTTCCCTCCCAGGCCCCTCCTTGAGCTGCTTTCACTGGCCCAGAGGAGTCCAGGCCTCTGCCCGCCTGCAACAGCTCCTGGAGTGGACCAGGAACACTGGCTTCGAGGAGGCTGGACAGCACTTCTTCCGGAAGCTCTCCTGTACCCTCAACCTGCTGGCCACTCCCAGGGCCCAACTTGTGCAGGTAGGAGGCACAGGTGGCTCAGGAGATGCAGTGAGTATAGTGGGGAAGGGGTCCAGATGTTTTCACAATTGGGTCACTGGCTTATAGACCAGATCAGGGGGCCAGGGACCTGGCTTCAGGTCCCTGAAAATTAAAATGTTCTATAGATAATTTGTGAAGTTATTTCCATTCCATAGCTGTCTACCCCAGCAGTAGACAGGATAGTGGCCCTGAAGATGTCTCTGTGCAAGCCCCAGGACTGTTGATGTGTTACGCATATGACCAAGGGGATTGATTGTAGATATGAGTAAGATTAAGGACTATGAGATGAAGAGAGGACCATGGATTATCCTGGTGGCCCAGCCTAGCTAGTCAAGTCCATGATTGATCAGAGAAGGATGGAAGTAGGAAAAGGGACTTGGCCCCTATGGCTGGCTCTATAGGTGAAGGAGGGGCCCTGAGCCAAGTGATGTAATGGAGAAGCTGGGATGGCCCCAGCTGATAGTCAGTGTGGAAACATGACCTCAGTTCTACAACGACAGGAACTGAATTCTCACAGCAAACAGATCCTCCCTTGGAGCCTCAGAAGACACAAAGGTTGGCCTACACCTTGATTTTGGCCCAGTGAGACCCATGCTGGACTTCAGACCCACACAACTGTGAGATGATCCACTTGTATTGTGGTCATTTGTTACAGCAGCAGCAGGAAACTGACATGCCCTCACCACTTACCTCCACAGTCAGCACAGAAAATCAGTGGAAATCAGACTGATGGCTTTTCTTCTTGCCTATAAGACCTGAATCATGTTTGGGGTAAAGGTAAGAGTGGCTACAGAAAAGCCCAAGAGGAAATTTGCTTTCTGTGCTGTCCGGGAAGGTGTGTTTGAACTTAAAGCATAATGTGGATACTTTGCTTATTTCCAAGCAAACCCCAGAGCTGATTCCAGAGTAGCCAGCTTAACCCAAAAGTCATAGGGCAGAATGGCCCTTTCAGTTTGGTATCAAAAACAAAGCAGTCCACTACTCAAGCATCAAAGCATACAAACGCTCACTTGCAAGTCCTGTCAGTATCATTATGAGTAATGACAATAGCTACTGCAAAGTGTTACCGGCTCTGCCTGTACTGCCTCATTTAATCCCCACAGCAGCCCTGTGAAGTGGACAGAGTACTGTCCCTGTTCTACACATCCCGAAGCAGAGGTCACAGAGCATGTGTCCTTTATTCATTCAGCAAATATTGAAAAGCTATTATATGTTAGGAACTATATATTTTACTGAAGTGTTTTTTTTTTAAGTTGTTTACTTTTTTCATTATAAAAGTGAAGCACTTACTATAGAAAATTTCAAAAATGAGAATGTCTGGCTATGTATGGCAGAGCTACATGAATTGAATTTTATTCTCCCATGGTATCACTAAACAAAATTAAAGCAATGCGTTTTAATGACATTAATCTATAGGACAAAATACTATTTTGGAAGCTAGAAAGCAGAAAGGTGAATAGTAGCTACTTTAGCTGATCTGAGAAAGCTGACTTGGGAGAAGCAACCCAATTTTCAGCAAACCGCCAAAAGGCTCAGGAATTTTTAGCAGATAACCCCTGGAAATTGTTTAAAAAAAATGGGGGCTAAAGAGAAGAACAGCTTGATGGGCATTTTGAACAGTACTGATGCTTGCCTGGACTGGCTAGGGATGTGTAGCTCTAGTGAGGACAACTTGCACAGCCAGAAAAAATACAAAAGTCATTTGTTTAAAGGCGTCTGAGAGCTGCTGAAGGATTAGAAGTACAGATCTGCAGAGGGAGAACCACAAAGAGCTGAACTGATATTCACCTGCTGCCTTCTCCCTGGGGGCATTTGCTGTTCTGGAAGCAGGTTCTGTGTGAGGCTGAGAGTTCAAGCTTTGTCCCAGCAGGAGGCCACTGCTGGGGAAAGAGAAACCCAAATAGCACTGGTTATTTCACAGGCCAGAGAGACAAACTCAGAGACTTTAGGGGCCTAAAATGCATGGCAAACCTTTCCCTTAAGCCATTTGCCAAAAATCTGAACCTGTAGGGCTTCAAAACTAAACAAAAAGCTTTGAAAAGCAGAGTGGAATTTGTGGTAGTTTCATAATGCTGAGGAGACAAAGATGAGAATTTAGGACCCTTTAAGTAGTAAACACCAGGCTCTCAACTCAGGAAGTTGAAACTCTGAGATAAGGATCAAGCAGAAGCCGCCCAAGCCTCACCAAAACCTTGCCTAGCCCCTGTGCAGCTTACCCTGGCTGCATTAAGTTCATCAGCAACAATGAACTACAAAGTATTAAACTTGTGGGCTGCAGTTAAAGCAGTTCTAAGAGGAAAAGTTATAGCCATAAATGTATATATTAGAAAATAATGCTGAGAATGAATCATCATGAAGTGAGAAAAAGAACAACAAATCCAAGAATGTAGAGGATGCGATAGATAAAAGCAAAAATTAGTGAAATAGTAAACATATATAGCAGATAAAAGCAATAGAACCAAAATTGGGTTCTTTGAAAAGTTTATTTATTTATTCAATTTTATTTTTTTGAGACAGAGTCTGACTCAATTGCCCTGGGTAGAGTGCTGTGGCATTATTGCTCACAGCAACCTCAAACTCTTGGGCTCAGGTGATCCTCTTGCCTCAGCCTCCCAAGTAGCTGGGACTACACGTACCCACCACAATGCTTGGCTATTTTTAGGGATGGGGTATTGCTCTTGTTCAGGCTAGTCTCAAACTCATGAGCTCAAGTGATCTACCTGCTTTGGCCTCCTAGAGTCCTAGGATTACAGGCATGAGCCACTGTGCCCAGCCTAAAAAGTTTAATTAAAAAAAGTGAAAAAACACAGATTATTGTTATCAAAAATAAAAAAGAGGACATCATTTAGATTCTATATTAAGAATTAGTAGTAAGAAGATATCACCAACTTTATACTGATAAATCTGACATTTTAGACGAAATGGACGAATTAGAAAAAGAACACATTAAAACTGATACAAGAGGAAATAAAAAATCTGAATAATCCTTTATGCATTAAAGAAATTAAATCTGTTATTTTAAAACCTTGAAAGGAGATTCAAGACCTGGTTGGTTTCATTGGTTAATTATTTTAAACATTATAGAAGAAATAATACCATTATTACCTAGCTTCTTTTCGAAACTAGAAAAAGAAGAAATACTGTCTCACTTTTAAACATCAATCCAACCTTGATACCAAAGCCTGAAAAGAGATTATAAGAAAGGAAAACTACACTTGAAGATCAACTTAATCATCAAAGAATTGAAATTCAAAATCTAAGTGTTTTAAGCCTCAAAATATCAGAATGTTTAAAATGAAAAAAAAAAAAAAAAGCCCATACAAGCATTGGTGAATAGGTATAGCAATTCAAATAGTAACATGCATCACAGGGGGCATTATAAATGAGTGTCACCCTTTGGGAAAGCTATCTGGCAGGATCTATGGAAGCTGACTGTGTGTACCTGCTCTGATGTAGCGGTTCTGTCTATCAAACGCTTCACTTCCTATCTTACGGCAGCCTATCTGGGTGTTTACAGTTGCATCTTTCACAGTTTCCCCAAACTAGAACAGCACATATTCATCAACAGTGTAATGGAGAAACAGAGCATAATAAGAAAAGAGGGGGTGGGTCCTTCATCACAGTGAAACACTCCAGAGCAGCAAGACTGAGCGAGTGTGTTAGAAGGAGCTACAGCAGTGAGGCTGGAGAAACAGAAAGAGGAACCAAAGGCAGGAAGATTGAAGGACCAGCATCTGGACAGTAGGAGTCCAGGAAGAGCAGACAGGAGATGGTGACCAGGAAGGAAGACAGCCAGCTCCAGGCAGCTTCCCAGACCTGAGCACTGGTGCCCTGTTGAAGAGAGAGCACCCATATCAGGACTCACATCCCTGAGTTTCAGAGCAGTGTGGCACAGGGCACCTGCAGGGTTCTGGAGGGGAGCAAATATAGGAGGCCTCCAGCAGAGCAGCCAACAGAACCATGCACACTTCTCCAGAGCAGCAGGCGGGGTCAGGAGACAGAGGAGCTGCTACCAAAATTCTGTAACCACCTCTAGTCTGGAATTCTCTGTCAGCCAGGCTGCCAGTGAGTGTGAAAGTGGAATGAAGACATTGTTCACCCCATAGGGCAGCAGTTTCCCTGCAATACACCTTTTTCGGGAAGTTACTAGAGGATCTGCCACAGAAATGAGGGAATAAACCCAAGACCAGAAGAAATGAGTTCCAGGAGATGGAGAGGATCCCAAAGGAATGGTGATGGAGGTCCTGGTGCAGATGTTTTAATTTTTTTATTATTATTTTTTTTTGAGGGGGGAGATAGTCTCACTTTGTCACTCTCAGTAGAGTGCTGTAGCATCATAGCTCATAGCAACCTCGAACTCTTGGGCTCAAGTGATTCTCTTGCCTCAGCCTCCCAAGTAGCTGGGACTATAGGCGCCTGCCACAGTGCCTGGCTATTTTTCTTTTTTCTTTTTTAGAGATTTTTTTTTTTTCCTCATTCTGGCTCAGGCTGGTCTCGAATCTATAAACTCAGGCAATCCACCCACCTTGGCCTCCCAGAGTGCCAGATTACAGGCATGACCCTCTATGCCTGGCCCTAGATGTTTTAATTTCATTGGACAAATTCATCCTTTTTTTAAGTCCCTGTCCCCTGACTGATTAAAGTTTCTGCTTTTCAGCCATGACTTTAACCTACTTGATTTCTTTTGTACCATTCAAGGTGGGAATCCAATGTGACTCCTCCCCAGTTTGCTGCAGGGCTGTGTAAGCTGGCCCTTGTGGAAGGAGACTGTGTTCACTGGGCAGGGATTCAGCATGTGCCAGGAGTGGCTGCCCCCGAGACACCTAGGGTGACCTGCCGTGATACTGTACTCCTAACTGAGCTGGCTGCACTGGTCCTTGGTGTGCCCACTGCCCCCTGGGAGGAGATGGATGCCAGGCATCCTGGGCCTGGATCCTTGCCCTGGCTGACTGTCCTCAGTGCACTGTGGGACAAACCCTCCCTGGGAGTGGGGCTATGCCAAGAGGCTATATGGGTGCCTGGAGGTTTTTGACCATAAGCTTCTCTTTGTCACGTAGATGAGTTGGGCAGCTCTGCGGGCTGCCTTCCCTGCCCTGAGCCCAGCACAGCTGCACCGGCTGCTGACTCAGTACCAGCTGGCCTCGGCCATGGGCCCCATGAGTGCCTGGGAGCCAGGGGCCCGGGAAAGCCCTGCTGCCTTCAAGTCAGGTAAGTCCCTGGTGAGGGGCAGGAGCCTGAGACTGAGGGTGCATTGGTGTATCCATCCTCAGGTGGCCTCCTTCTGCCCATCTGTCCCCTACCTATGGCCCTCCATGGCTGGGATCAAGGAGGGGATTCCATTCCCAAGTTCCAAACTTCAGGCTAAGGTCAAAAGTCCCCCTCCCCTCAGGGAGCCTCAGGCCTCCCTCAAGCTGCAGCCAACCAGGATAGGACAGCATCTCCTCGCAACCTGTGGAGAAACACGCCTGTGTACATGTGCCATGTGTGTGCACGTGCCTGCACACATTCGTACACAGGGCCTGTGTATGTCTGTGTATGTATGTGGGTGTGTAATACATAAATAAGGTGTGCGTTTGTAGTTATAAATTACACTTCTTGCTTCATTAGTATCACGTATATTATAACACATAAAGAAAGCCAGAAAGTAGAGGATTGTGGGAGACACGGATAACTAGGGCTCAGATGCCATCTTGCCACCTACCCACCTGGCAGCTGGGCCTGGACTAGAGACTATCTCTGAACAGGACTCTGGTTTTACCTTTTGTATGTCACCTCCCCCTTTACTGATTCATTTTCCATGCTCTGTGCTGGGAGCTAAGGCTGCAGTGGTCATGAGCTTCCTGTTCTAGTGGACAGAGACCAGCCTGCCCACTAGGCCTTTAGCATCCTGGGTGACGTGTGCAGGGATAGAGTCAGCACAGACCTTGGGAGCCTGGGGGAGGAGCTGAGGCCCAACTCAGCAGAGATTGTTACCAGGGATGCCCTCAGAGCCAAGTGTGACAGGGATAGGCCTGGTGTAGAGTGGCTCAGGGAGACTGAGAGTTGGGCAGTGCCACTTGAGAGTCCAGACTGCAAGGGCCTGATTCTTAGTCCTGAGACATGTGGCCATTCCAAAGGGATGAGAGCCAGGTTGGAGGCAATCACCTTGGCCAGGATCCCACCCTCCTGTGTACTTGGATCAGGGGACCTGGCAAACCAGGCAATGGGAGGGCAGCTTCTCCTTCAGCCAGTCATGGCCGACACCACCCCCTGCAGAGGATGTCCTGGAGTCCTATGAAAACCCCCCACCCATCGTTCTGCCGAGTGAGGGCTTCCAGGTGGACTTAGAAGCCGACTGCCTGGATGATAGCATCTATCAGCACCTGCTCTACATCCGCCACTTCCTATGGAGCCTGCGAAGCAAGGCCAGCCCTAGCAGCGGGCCTGCCCAGCCAGAGGGCCCTGAGGTACCTGGAATGGGAGGGCCCTGGGCCAGGCTCCAGAGCTGCTTTGTAGAGAGCTTGCAGCAGCCCCCACATGATAGCCAAAGTGGGGGTAGGCACAGCTCAGCCCAGAAACAGGGTTGGAGGCACAATCTGAGCTCTGGGATCCCTGGAGGCCTGGCCCCCTTGATGTGCCAATGGTGGGGGAGACCCCTTGTTCTTAGGGTTCTTCAGATGGCATAGGCTGCAGGAGTCCTTCTTTGACCTCATGCTCCAGGCAGCCTGGTGGCCCTGGGACGACCTCAGACAAGGCAGCCCTCCCTCACCTGCAGGCACCGTCCCACCAGCTGCCCTCCTGGGTCTGAGCTCTTTCTTTCCTTCCCCCAGGGTGCAGACCACACCAGCCCGGAGGCTTCTAGGGACCCAGGCAAGGCAGCCCGAGAAGCTGTCCCATCATGTTCTCTTCCTTTGGCGGGGGCTCCCTGGGTACCAGAACTCCCTAGAAGGCAGCCCAGCCGTGGGGGCCGAGGGGGCTCCCAGGCTGGGCCCCTGCACACTGACTCGTCATGCCTGCTCACGCCTCCCAGCACCCCCATTGGCCTTGAACCTGGGGACCCTGGCTGCCCAGATCCCAGCAGCACCTGTGGAAAGGCACTCCCGGAAGGGCAGAGGAACGGGCCAAGCAGCCCCTGGGGCGTAGCTCCAGATGGTGAGGACTCTCAAGCTCAGGCCTGTAACTGCTGGGTTCTTCCCTTGCCCTGGCCAGATGGGAAGAGGTGAAAGCAGCTCAGCCCCTTGGAAGGCCCCACATTGGGGCCATGCCACAGCTTGGTCATCTAGGGCTGACATCTCAAATAGTCACTATGACCTGGGACTAAGTCTAGAAAGCCACTGAGAATCACTCCTGCATAGGTGGAGGGCGGGATGCTGGGATGGTGTTACTGAGCCCACAAAAGGGTCCAGACTAGGTTCTGTCACTCGCCACACAAAGATCCAATTATTGAAAAAATGGAGATTGTCAAGGAAGAAAGAAATCTTAATGCAGAAGACATCTGTTGGGAGAAATACTCAAACCCAAATCAATCTAGAGAAGGGCTTTCACAGGGGGCTATGGGTCAGATTGTGTGGGACTTGAAGTCATGGGGTCTTCTGGGGGGGGTGTCTGATTCAAGAGTCAACTGCTGGTAATGGATGATAAGTGCTGTGGAGAAGCTAGTTAAGTCTGGTGGTTAGACTTCACTGGTAAAGTCAGAGGGAACAAAAAATAACTTAGGAAAGGGGTCATTTTGCAAGACTGATTATGCTGGTGTGGTTCAGTGCTCAAGAGAAGATGTGCCAAAAGCAGCCAGGAAGGCCTTCTGGGAGGAGGTGGGATGGAGCTCTCTGGGGCAGGGCACGTGGAGGCCTGTGTGCTCAGTGAGTAGTCAACTGGGCCAGGCTAGGAGGGCCTGAGGGAAAAGCAGCCCCTGCCAATGCTGGCCCAGTGGCATGTCCTATAGGGATGAGGACTCCTTGGTGCTCCTGTAGAATTTGGAGCATGCCTGAAGGTTGGGTTTGCTGGGCAGAGCTGGACCTGAGGTGGCTGCCTACTTGAGTGTGTGGGATATAGCTCCGGACCTGACCCCAGTGCTGCCGAGAGCCCAACCCAGGTGCCCGTGGGCACAAGCATGGCCTAGGAGAGAGAAGGCATAGGCTCATGGCCCCAGCGAGCCACTCAGGTTGGGCTGGCTGGGCTCTGGGTGAGGGCCTGGTTAGCAGTAGAGGCTTTAGGAGAGATGGACATGGGTCACCATCTGGGGTATGGAGGGAGCAGGGGAAGGAAGGCAGCAGAGACCACTCAGGAGGCTACACTAGAACCATACAAGCCTGGAGTCAGGAAGCCCCTGACCAGTGGGGCCAGTGTCCCTCCCAGGCAGCCATGGGGCAGGGACCAAGGTATCCCTTCCAGGCATGTGGGTTGTAGCCCACAGGCAGATCCTGACCCAATTGCCAGGCTTGCTGTCCATGTTCTGCCCAAATGGTGCCTTCCTGAGCTACAGGAGCACTTCCGGCCCTCCCCTGAGGCAACTGAGGTGGACATCCTGTCAGGTGACAGCTCCAGCCCCAGCCCCATGCCTTCATCCCTGCCCACCTTTCCCTGCCCTCCCAGGAGACCCCGTGGCCCCCTCCAGCCACAGCTCCAGCACAGAGGACTTCTGCTACATCTTCGAGGTGGAGCTGGAGCGAGGCCCCTCAGGGCTGGGGATGGGCCTGATCGACGGGATGGTGAGTGGCCAGGGACCCCTGCAGGCTGCCTTGGTTCCTCCTGTTCACAGAAAGACTGCCACGGCTTGTGTGGTTTTATGGCAGGAAAGGGGGTGGCCCACTACAGCTGGGACTGCAGGAACAACCTGTCCAACAGCTACTGCGGTCCCTGGTCTCCATCCTCAGGCCGGGTCTGTCTTGGACCTTAGGGAACAGTGGTGATGTCATGGCTTCACTCCAGGCATGGGGGCTACAAAGGTTCTTGCAGGGGATTGCTGTGTGTTACTGGGTTGTGGAGCCCTGAGGCTTCTGCTTCTCCCCAGCACACGCCCCTGGGCACCCCAGGGCTCTACATCCAGACCCTGCTTCCGGGCAGCCCTGCCGCGTCTGATGGGCGGCTGTCGCTGGGAGACCGCATCCTGGAGGTCAACGGCAGCCACCTGGCAGGGGTCAGCTACCTGAGGTACCTCCACTCCCATACCCCTAGCCCAACTCCCAGATAGCCCACGGAGGGGAAGAAAGGGCCAGGCTCCTGCACCAGGCATTCACTAGCCTGCTGAGTCCCACACACAGGCGTCGGCTGGGGAGGGTTCAGGTTTGCAGGAGAGGCTGGTGCTTGGATGCCCTGCCGCAGCCCCTGCCTGGGGTTCTTTGATACCAACCTCACCTCCCTCCTGCCTTTCAGAGCTGTGGATCTGATCCGACATGGGGGGAAGAAGATGCGGTTCCTGGTTGCCAAGTCTGATGTGGAAACAGCCAAGAAGATCCACTTCCGCACACCCCTGCCCTAGAGAGGGGCTGGCAGGATGCCCTACATACCTGATGCTGGTTCTGCCAGGTGACACCAATTGTCATCAAGCCATTTGTCTGTATTTTTTAATTGGCTGAGTTGGGTTCCCATTCTGCCCAAATGGTGCAGACAATGTACATCTTAGTGTATATTTTATTTATATGACAGGTAACACTAAGTTGTTATGTTTGTTACAGAGCTTTTATGTTTAAAGACTTTAATGGAGAAGTTTAGATTCAATAAACTATCTTTCATGTTCTCACAGAGTACAGTGCCAGAGACAGTGGCCTGGGCCTGGTGGGTGTGGGCAGCTGAGGGACAGTGGTGGCTCTCTGCTAACTCCAGTCCAACGGCAGGGGGCGTCCTGGGTGGACACAAGAGAATTATCATGGTTGGAAGTCTTTTAGCTATTATTCTTCCTCCCCTACCCTGCCCAGAAATGAGCCCTAGGAAACATCCCAAGCTCCCTTCCAGCTAGAAAGACCAGAGCTGCAAACCAGAGTGCAATTTGATCTTTTAATCACATTGCTCAGCACAATCCCAAAAGAAAGGACCTAGAAACCTCCAGAAGGTAAGAAAGGGACCAATTTGCCCAATCTCTGAGGACACTGAGCCCTGCCAGGGCTCCACCCTGGGGCCTCCCCATCCAACAGGACTCAAGCTCCTCCCTGAATTCTTTCTTGTCACTAATACCTGGGGCCCTTCGATACCAGCCTCAAATGCCAGGCCCTAATGCCAGGCTGGCACCCCAGACTCTTAATCTACAGCTGGCGTCCACCTGGTCACTGTCCCTTCACTCTGGCAGGAGGCTAGCCACCTTCTCCACCAGCTGGCTGACCGTGTGCAGGGCCATGTTGATGTGGTGGTGGTGGTGGGGGGGGGCTGCACACCTCCACACTTGGTGTGAGCACAAACTAGGCCATCCTATGCATCTTCAGCAGGGTCAGCAACTCTGTGGCCCATGTATAGATGGCTTCCCTGCCTTCCTTGCTGTGACGGAAGCTAGGAACTGGGCTCTGGGACAGGGTCCTCATCTTTGACAGCAATAGAGAGACTCTGAGGATGAGGGGGTAGGTCCAGTCAGCTGCATGGAGAGGGCCAGCTCCTGAAGCTCTCTTCCAGATCAATCCCAAATGCTGGGCCTCATCAGCTCCATGCTGCCCCCTGGTGAGTGCCATAGTCAGTGCAGCATATCTGCCTGAGGCCCTTTGCTGCTTCCAGGCAGTGTGAATATCTGGTCCTGCCTAGCTTAGAAAGGCTGCCCACTCTTAAGTTCCTAAATACTGGACAAAATAAAAAATAAATAAATAAATAAATAAATATACATCTCACACACACACACACATATATATATATATATTTTGGTAGGGACAAAGCCTCACGAATAGCCCTAAGTAGAGTGCTGTGACGTCACAGCTCACAGCAACCTCCAACTCCTGGGCTGAGGCGGTTCTCTTGCCTCATCCTCCCAAGTAGCTGGGACTACAGGCGCCCACCACAACACCTGGCTATTTTTTTGTTGCAATTTGGCCGGGGCTGGGTTTGAACCCACTGCCCTTGGTATATGGGGCCGGCACCTCACCCACTGAGCCACAGGTGCTTCTCAGACAAAATATATTTTTAAAAAGTTATTTTTATTTTTAAGACAGAGTCTCACTCTGTTGCCCTAGGTAGAGTGCCGTGGCGTCATTACAGCTCACAGCAATCTCAAACTCTTGGGCTCAAACAATCCTCTTGTTTCAGTTTTTTTATTTTTAGTAGAAATGGGGTCTTGGCTCTTGCTCAGGCTGGTCTAGAACTCCTGAGCTCAAGAAATCCACCCACCTTGGCCTCCTAGTGTGCAGGATTACAGATGCAAGCTTTCATTTAAATGCATGGTTCGATTTAGAAGAAAAGAAATCCTTAGAGCCCAAAAGCGAAATGAGAGTACAAGTTCAGAGTGGCTGCAGCTGGCCTAGGGTGCCAAGTTATTGGTCTCAGTTCTCCATTCCTCTGCTTGGTTATAACAAATGCTATGGCCTGGATGGGGGAGAGGCAAAGCCTTGATTACCACTGCGGGGGGGCTCCACTTTACTCCAGAGTTCCTGAAGGGCTAAGCCCCTGGGGAAAAGACAACTAACCACGGCAGATACCCTCACATAGATACACTTATGCACTGAGCACATCTAGCCCTTTACTGGCATTAACGCATTTAATTCTCCCCCAAATTCTTTGCAGTAGGTACTGTTATTATCCTCATTTTTCAGATGAAGAAACTGAAGCATGAAGAGATTATGATTTTCTACATCAGTAAGCCATTGCCATAATAATTCTGAAAGAAAAAAAATCACAAAATTCAGCATCTTAAGACAAAGATTATTTATCCTTGCTTAGCTCTGCTAAAAGTTGCCAAATGCCAGTGTGGCCCTGCAGGAGTTAGTACTGAGCTCTACACTGAGGCCAGCTCTGCTCCAGGTGTTTCCCACCCTTCTCAGCCCCACAGACCTCCCCGGGCATGAAGTGTGGCAATGGCGGAAATGCAAGAGGACAGGTCTGACAAGTACATTTCAGGCTTCTGTCACCTCTGCTGAAATCCTGTTGGTCAAAGCAAGTCTTTTGGCCAAGCACTGAATTCAGGTGTGGGTGAAGACATGACCCCAACTGTGAGGCTGTACCAAGGATGTACATATGTAATACTCCTCCAGAGGAAAGCAGAATTGCGATCACTCATTCTATCAGCCACTGGGAGACAAAGCCAGATTTGAACTTTGGCACTTTGACTCCAGACTCTGAGCCACCACAGAAGTCTACGCTTAAAAGAAATGGTAAGGGAATATTTCTGGGTGGGTTTGGCTCTGTGTGGAGCAGGAAAAAGTATCCTGTCAAAATCTGTATTCATGGGCAGTGCCTGTGGCTCAGTGAGTAGGGCACTGGCCCCACATACTGAGGGCAGTGGGTTCAAACCTGGCCCTGGCCAAACTGCAACAAAAAATAGCCAGGTGTTATGGCAGGTACCTGTAGTCCCAGCTACTCGGGAGGCTGAGGCAAGAGAATCACCTAAGCCCAAGAGCTAGAGGTTGCTGTGATCTGTGACGCCATGGTACTGTACCAAGGGCGACAGAGTGGGACTCTGTCTCTAAAAAAATAAAAATAAATAATTAAAATAAAAAATTATTTTTTAAAAAATTTGTATTTATATGAGTTCTTATACAGGTTTGGGATCAACTTACAATGTCTGGATGATGTGAGTACACACAAGCCAAGCATTTGGTTAAAAATAGTGTTCCCAGGCATCTGGCAAAAGCAATAGATAATTTCCTCTACCTGAACACATCCTCAACCCAGGTTTCTAGACTTCAGGCTTCCTAGGACTCCAGCAGATAACATTGTAATGAGTGAGTTCTTTATCAAAAAATCACAAAATGGAAATAACAAGCACCATGATAAGATTAGCAGAAACAATAAAAGTTGCTGAATGGGACCTGCAAAGACTTCAGCTATTGGAAATATTTACAGAACATAAAACAAGTGGAATATACTTACAGAAATGACATCAGGAGTTAGAAACGTGATTTAAGGAATAAGATATTTCAACTGGCCAGGAAGATTTGAATTGAAGTAAATACATCTCCTAGAAATGAAAAATAGATACTAAAAACTCAGAGAAAAGAGCAGATTTAAATAAGCAGATTTAACTGATGAAAATATAATGAGCTGGAAAAAAGAGTTGAAGAAATTCCTCATAATGCAATGAGAAGAGCAAGATAGGAAATATGAAAAGAAAGGTTGAGAGACACAGAGAATAGGATAAGAAGGTGCAACTTAAGTCACCTGGAGTTCAGACGTAGAAAAAATTGGGAAGCAATATTTAAAGAGATAATAGCTGAGCATTTTCCAGAATTGATGAAAGACACAAATTGTTACAGGCTGATTAATGAATCCCAGGAGAATAAATCAAAGGAAATCTACACGTAAGTATATTAATATGAAATTACAGGATCCCAGAGGCAAACAAGTGATCATAAAAGCTGCCAGAGAGTAGTGCAGAGTTCCAGAAGACATTTCAGCTAGATGCTAGCCTCCCCCAAAACAACAATGGAGACCAGCCAACAGAATAACTTCTGCAAAGGATCAAGATAAACTGTCAATCTAGAATTCTAAACCCATCCAACATGTCTTTGAAGGATAAAGACAAATTTTAGACACTTTCAGACAAAGGTAAGGGAATTTACAATACTGTTGGACACTCAGAAACTTGTGAAAATTGTACTTCAAGAAGTAGGAAAATCACTACTCTGATGGAAGGTTTGGATGTAAGTATGGCAAACAAATACATTTACAAATGTAGAGAAACGTAAAGATGCTATATAAAACAACAATAGTAATGTCTAGCTTGGGAGGTGTTTAAATAAAAAGGTAGTGGGAAAGCTCAGGACACTAATTGCGTTTAAGCCAGAAGGAGGTGGTGTTAGGAGATATAATGTTCTAAGGTCCTTGCATTGTTTAATTTAGAGGATACTAATGCTACTGATTAACCTTAGACATTGTTCAGAATATGTGTTGAAATTTCAAACCAGTAGAGGATAAACATAGAGTAAAGAAAACAAAAACTCAATGACAGAAAAAAATAAATGGACAAGTAGGCTGTGTGTGTGATGGCTAATGTTGTAATTCCAGCACTTTGGGAGGCTAAGGCAGGAGGATTGCTTAAGGAGCATTCCCAGTAGAAGGAGCAGTGAGTTCAAGGGCCTGAGGTTGGGAGCATTAGTGGCCTAGGAACAAGAAGGGAAGGCTAGTGTGGCTGAAGCTGGTTACATCAGGGACAGTCCCGGGTGTCTGATCAGACAGTGTATAGGGCCCAAACCAAGAAGAGCCTCATAGATCGTTATAGGGATTATGGATTCTAGTCTGGCTAAGAAAGGAATCTAATATTAGAGGACTTTGAGCAAAGAAGTTACAAGATACATAGTCTGACTGAACTGTTAATAGAATTACTCAGGCTGTTGTATTGAGAATGCCCTGAAGAGTGGCAGGACAGAGCAGGAAAGT